TGGACTTGCCCCAACTACCTTTCAACTCTCCTTAAAAGGCACTACCCTCCGAGATCCTTATGGTCTGGTTCCCAGTATTTCTTGGAGGTACCAACCACCCGAACAAAGACATTTGGCGACCGTTCATTCGCAAAAGCTGGTCCAGTAATGGGGAACAGTCTACCTATGCACCTGAGATCGCAAGAGAATCTACCAGCATTTAAGTCACAACTGAAAACTCATTTCTCCAGTGCTGCCTACCTAACTTGACCAATGTCGTTCCAGACTCATTTCCAGCGCTTTTGAGTGGTAGATGCCAGAAACTAGCGCTATATAAACTGTTTGTATGTATGTATGATATATGGCGATGGGGTAGAACGGGTTGTAGCACTTGCGGTTGATGATTTCCTATGTTAAAAGACGTCAGCAACCCTTCTTTGGCCTACCAGAAGTCCACATCTCAATCCTACAGAGTCGCAGATTTCGCCAAAGAGATACCGCAATACAAAATCCATCAAGAATAGAACGCAATATCTCAACGTCATATTCAACGTCTGATACACTCAGTGAGGAGTCAAGGAAGTTTTGCAGTTGTTGGAGATCACAGTTTTTATTCATATCACGTGTAGATTTGCCATTTAATTATTCCTTGAGAGTGAATGATCCAGATAGTAAGTTAATCTGATTTTGGGATTAGTTATTATATGGTTAATGATAACATGAACAGTCCATGAATGCTGAGCTGACTAGAAGCAATCAGAGACTCTAGAAACGGGCAGTAACTCCTTGCATTTCTTGTTTCTTCAGACAAAGTCCACGGGAGAGAGAGATGGAGTGTCAACCGCAAGCCCAACAGGCGCCTGGGATGGATGCCCCCAATATTTGCCAACAGAGAGAGCAGGCATACGAAGAAATAGATATGAATGACACGGGCCCAGTTATTGTGTTTCTGTGAGACCTGGTAAACAGTGGAACAGCCTTTCTGCAGGATCATGGGTTAAAGTATGGGAGTTAGCGGTACGATTGCTTTGTGATACATAACCTACTGATAGTTCAGACTTCTGTCTCCTTTCCCTGCTGGGATGACAGTTTTTCCAAACACTTAATTTCAAATATCATCTATCCTCTGTTGATGAGGTTCGAGTTCAGGAGTCAAAAAGTAGCGCTTGATCAATTGGCCCGTTATGGCACAGTATGGTTGAAGACAGATGCAAATTAGCCCAAGTTAGCTTCCTATATGCGGTGGAATTCCAGGATTTACAGACATTACTGCGTTTACTGTACGGGAGGTCAGCTGGAGAACACTTTTGTCAGGATCGCAGTACGACATCAGAAAGTTAGCGTGAGTAAGTATTTCTATGTATAGCGACGTGTGAATGTCAGAAGTGGTGGGAGATGTTCAACTAACACTTTATCAAAGTCATGGGCAGGTATATTAAGAAAACGTGTTCTCAAAGGTGTGGTGAGAACCACTTCCTGGAAACCACTCCTGGCACACAATGGGTGTGTCGGTGTGTAAAGACCTATCACAATGGTTCATATACTTGATATATTGTTTACTATACAAATGATATTGCTCCTATACCAATACGCATTCTCGTCATTACCAAATATAGCAGTACTCTCACTATATGTTTTTCGTGTTAGTTACCCACAGCGCGACTTGTGAAACGTTAACGCCATTCTAGTTCATTTAACATGTAAACATATGATTCTCTTAAAAAATGTACATTATCTCAAGGATTGTTTATGGCCATTTCGACCCCTGGTTTCGCCAGATGTAAACTGATTTGGATAAAGACCCAGAAAACAAAGGAATGGAACAAATATCAAAGAAAACCCAGTTGAGCAACTATCATTTCTTTCCAAATTTGGAAGCATGGTCTTGATTATGACAGAAATGTACTTCTACACCGTGAGTATTATATAACTGAACGAAATGAGTTCTTCTCCGCCCTCATTGACAAACTGGATGTTGAAAGTTATGTTCAAATTGAACTTTGGGATGAAAATGAGATGCTTGCTATATTTTGGGGTTCGGCTCAAATACTACCTGGAATTGTCAGCCAGACGACTTGGGAAAGTGTATCACTTAGGCTGTTATTCTGTAAATAAGTTCATCTGAAAAAGTATTAGGCCATCCTCTCTTTTCATCTGATGTGCAGCAACAGCTGTCATTTGTGTACATAGGTGATATCGGATATTATATTTCCTTGTACAGCTTGTGTTACTGGGACTCATATTTATATTCCTGTACATATTGACATCATGTATTCACTCTGAGTAGCATCAGGGATATTGTAAATCTTTGGATGTAAATTCTGGAGGAAATACAGAAATTCGTTCATTCATTGTGACGGTGTTATCAGTCTTCACCACGCGTGCAACAAGTTTCATGGCCTTCAACGTCCCGGCCTCGTCAGTGTCAATGTTTTATTCAGCTAAGTTTATGTCCGAGTTAATCACACGGTATTTTCACAATGTTTCCAGTAAGCAGTTACTGTGTGGATTTGCCTCTAGCACTGTGGCAGTGGTCGGTGTTTATGATATTAGAATGGAATATTGATTGGCCTAAACACTAATTTGTCACTATTTTGTTTTCTGCTTTACCTTCTGTTCATTTTTGTTTTCAGTAATCTTCTGTGTGCGAAAATGTGGGTTTTAGTCGTTTTTATTTGATTTGCTTTCATTCGATTTGTTGTAGTTTTTTAGTCCCAAGGATGGGATAAAGTTGTAAGCTTGATACAAGTTCTAATGTACAGAATTCATGGCTTTATGTTATAAAACAAACACGATTCAGTTCTGACAGCACTAACAAGGAGTACTGATTACATGTATTGTGCTCACTGTGCACACATTTGTCAATCTTACCAACGTTTTAATAGCACTACACAACTATTTGCTGCATCTCATTCTGTATTTCTTTGCCCCTTCATGGACCTGACGAAGGTTGTGTCTACAGTAAAGAAGATGTTAACATCCATACTATTTTCTCTTATTTGTCACTTATTTGTTCTCTCTGGGAGTTGAAGCGGAGTATTTGTGGCGTAATGATATCCAATGCTCATCACTGAGTCATCACATCATATGAACTGACCCCCCACCCCCCCTCCCACCCCCACAAAACCCCTCGCCCTTCAGAGTGAGGGGTACCCTTTACTGTGATCAATAGTCCGTCTGTACACAGCAGTTCACGTATTCATGCTCACCTCAGGAAACGTCTGTACAACTGAAGGAGTTAGCATGTATGCTGCACGTGATACAGGTATCGGTTTCAAAAGGAGTGGACGACAGTGACAACAATGATTTCTCAACAAATATGAATACTTTATCTGTCTCCAACGGCATCGTTTTTCAGCATAAACTTTCTTTGGTTCAAAATCTACAACTTTTCAAATAGACTCGTTATACGTATGCTCGGGAAAGGTCTGTACAACTGACGGACTTAGCGTATGTGCTTCTCGTAACACATGTCAGCTCAAAAGGAGAGGGGGGGGGGGGGGGGGGGTACAGCAACAACACTGTTTACTCCACAGCGGTAGGTTACACTATTTGTCTCGAGCGACTGTGTTTATCAGTATTAACCTTCCTTGGTTTAAAATCTACAACCTGTCACATACACTCGTACCCTGAGTCAGTGTGAGTGAGTGAATATGCTTTACGCTGCGTTTAGCAATATTCCAGCAATATCAGAGCGGAGGACACCAGAAATGGGCTTAACACATTGTACCCATGTGCTGGAAAGTACACATTTCCCGATCTACCCCCTCCAACTGTACAACCGCATGTTCAATATGTAATACATCTCATTTTACATACAACATGCTCCGATAGAAGATGACGCCTCGAAGTGAATCCCTCACACAGTATGGATGTATCTGTACATGATCCTTTCATGTTTACACGATTACACGTCATACAAATACTTCCCTGTACCCTGCATGAACATTGTCGTTGTTTAATTAGATTTAGCTATGCGCACTAGTCTGGACTAGACATTCCAGTTTTCAACATCATGGTCCATCAAATTAGAATTACATTTGTCAACCAAGTCAGCGAGCCTGCCCGCACGATCCTGTTAATCGCCTCTACGAAAAGTATGAGTTACTGAAGATCAATTCTAACCCGGATCTTCACTGGTCTTTCCTGAAATGACTGGCATCAGCCGATCGACAAGTTCAAAACACCAGGTAAACGATGTCTGGCGACTATACCTAACTGTTATATGTGTCAACAGGGGAACTTGCTGAGAACTATAGGTTGGTGAAGACGAAGGTATACACGTTGAGTCCTAACTTCGTTAGCTGGCTATAGAGAATACATGACAAACAGATATACAAGACGGAAATGATCTTGGTTGCTGGCTCAGACATAAATGAGGTGCGCGCAGTTCCGGCTCATCCTCAAGGAGTTTCCTATGAAGGTATTATCCTGCTCGCAGACAGGCAGTCCGAATACCGACCAAACTAACACACACACTAGATGGTATTAGCGCCCAATTCCTGCCATGCTACTAGAGATGGCACACCCTTCCTACACAACATTTATATAGTGACCGTGTGTGTGTTTCTGTGTTGTTCTGTCTTCATCTTACCTTCATGTAAAATACTATAATTCCATTGGTCAATGACGCTTAACAAGTTTCCGTGTCACCCTTCCAAGGAGGATGACAGCTGGAAAATATATTACCAGCAGCCACGGTAACCGACAAACACTCTTCCCAGAAGCCATATTGCTAATAATCGTATGAAATATGGAGACAAACATAGTTTCGTTTAAACATTGTAGTCATGTGCAGTATTACGAGGCATTGAGTCGTGTACGTCTTAAACATGCATCATCTGAGAAAGATATCATGTGACATGGAGATTATTGCCCTCGTGTATTTCTATAATAAATATCAAAGACTAGAATTTGTATTTTCAATATATGATAATTATGATTGACAAACCCAATCGGCTGATAATCTCCATTTAAAGGACATTGGGGATTTACACATATGTTAGATCAATAATATTTACCTGTATTAATCCATTGCAACTAGCCAAATTCCTATCCCAATCCGTTAACGCTCTTCGTGCCAGGAACTGACAGAGGCTGGCACTGTCTGACTGGCTGACTGAATGATTTTCCAAAAGACCTACTCAAGCGTGACTACAAATAACGATATCTGTCATGGTTCAATACCTGTGCTGGGTCATGACGACCCATGAATTCGTACCTGGGCGTGTTTTCATTTCGCCAACCTCGTTTCACCTTCACCTCATTGTGTCTACGATACACTACAATACACAAGCAGCATGTTGCATGGGTTCAAACGTTTTAGCGATACAATTAACATGATAAGTCCAGGAACAATCATGCTGTAAAGAAAGTGTCGAATGTTTATGACGCCAATATTATCACTATCCTTCATTATTAAATTTCACTTTGGGCTGGGCTGTACCTAACGAGAAAGAATATAATCTGTTATATTAGGATTACATGTAACTTTGATGACACCCAGTGAAAGCATCTAAAGCATGGGATATAGGAGTGTTTGATGTCGTGGGCCCATAGCTTGTTTACGTGCTATATTGAAATGAAGGAAGGAAAGAAGAATACTGTTCCTTGTGCATTGCTTTCACTGTTAGAGGGTATAATGTGAAGCCATATCAAAAACGCTTTTCATTACCTTGTGGATTTGGCTCTACGCCAGGGAAACATTTAAGCTCATTCAACATGACAATGTCAGACCAGTTTTAAATACTGCATAGGAAAGTATATCAGTAGTACAGATAGGCTGTGATTATCACCAGTGTTATATATCACATGTCTGGACACGAATTGTAAATGTATGTCTGGAGGTTTTCAAAAATGATCGACAACCGTACTTGGAGACGGAAGTATGGACGTACACCAGAGTGAATGATATAATTCTTTACAGATGCGTCATCAAACAAAGTTTCCTGTTTAGGTTTCACGCCATAATGACGCAATAATGACGTCATACTGCTCCCCGAGCAGCATTTAGAAATGAACAACGGGTTTCAGTTATTGTGAGGTGGTCATTGGTATAGGTAAAGGTTTGACGTCCACGTGATATATAAACACAATGGCGGACAGACGGAACAACACTGCAGTGTCATGGTGGAATCGCACATTCTTTATTTCAAATTAATCAGATAAAAGGTAATCGCATAAAGCTTTGCTGCAACGCACGCACGCGCACGCACTCATACGCATCTTCCCATTATGGCGGAACACCCCTACACTTTATAATGTACTGTACCTGTATAGCTGGTTACTCCCAGTTTGTCTTCTCTTTGAAATAAACCTATAACGGAGTCTCCCAGGGCCTACCTATAATGATTAAAAGCCAAGTGAATCGGGGATCTTGTGATCATTCCTTGTTTGTTTTGATATTTGGAGATTTCTCCTCTATTCGGATAAAAACTTTGTAAACTTACAGTTCATGTACCTGTAGTTTGCTTTGAAAATTGGATATAATCCCTCCAACTTTTATTGAAACTATTAACTGTAGAAGATATTCTCAATCACTTTTATGTCGTGGAATTTATTGCCTGATGGAGCTGTCAACGCTATTTCCCTGAATCAATTTAAAACCATGATAAACCCAATAGAAACTCACAATTACTTTGATTTTAATTTTGGGACTAGGTTTTGTCAAATCATCCTTTGTCGCCTCAAGCTCGACTGTAGTGGTCTAAACGCAGACAGATATAATCGACATATATCAGAAACAGCTAAATGTTTGTGAGGTCATTATAACGAAGACGTTATTCACTACCTTTTTTACATGTCGGAACCATCCAAATTTAACAACAATTGTGTATTTTTATATTCAAAGATACGATGTTAAAACTACTTTACACCGTAAGGCGCATTGAATAACTCAACAAATAATGACGTTCTCCACTCATTACACCAGTTCATTTCTGAAAGCAAAAGCTTCCAGTGATTATCACCTCTACATATATATTCAATGTAAGACAAGTTTGATTTGATTTTCTGCGGCAGCTCATTTGTTGCTAGGCAGTAACCAACATCATAACGAACACATTTATTATTCAATCATTTATCTGTTATGTTGTCTTAGTAACTAAAAACCACTCGACTGGAACAAGTTGTGTATTGGACGGGTAGTCAAACTGGGAGTAGTCATAATGGCCTCCAGCCAAAAATATACTTAGTCCCCAATGAAACGCGACATGCATGGCCCAATCATGGTGTAATTAATTTAATTTGATCATTTACAAGAAGTAAGTGATCACGTGAAATTTCGTTAGAGAAATCAGCGATTAAGTTCACTCCACAGATGATTCCAGAGATATATAGGTACATATTAAATATTCTAGTTTAGGAAAAGCATTAACAATATCTAATAAGCAAGCTAATGTCATCTCTAATGTCCAGCAACTGTTACCACTAATGTCACAATAGTTTATGAAGAGTCACGTGCTATTTACTGCGGGCCTTAAAAGGGTTGACGTCTGCTCATTCGTCTTTGTATGCGTCAATACAAAGTACGTGACACCTGAGATATGTTTGAAAAAGCTAAAACCTGCATTGAGAAAACGACGCCAATAGTAACTCAATGCTTCTTTGATCGGTATTCTTAAAGTACATATACCAATTTCTTGTTGATACACAGAGGGTATTCCCATGTTTATTCTTTCATCATTATCAAGATAGAGGTTACTACAACAAGGTGATGAGAAGTATATATGTATAGTATGCATGACAATATGTATAGTATGTATGACAATATACGTATAGTATGCATGGCAATATATGTATAGTATGTATGACAAGATATGAATAGTATGTATGACAACATATGTATAGTATGTATGGCAATATATGCATAGTATGTATGACACTATATGAATAGTATGTATGACAATATATGTATAGTATGTATGACAATGTATGTATAGTGTGTATGATATGATATGTAAAGTATGTATGACAACATATGTATAGTATGTATGACAATATACGTATAGTATGTATGACAATAGATTTATAGTATGCATGGCAATATATGTATAGTATGTATTCCAAGATATGAATAGTATGTATGACAACATATGTATAGTATGTATGACAATATATGTATAGTATGTATGACAATATATGTATACTGTGTATGACAGTACATGTATAGTACGTATGGCAATGTATGTATAGTATGTATGACAATATATGTATAGTATGTATGACAATATATGTATAGTACATATAACAATGTATGTATAGTATGTATGACAATATATGTATATTATGTATGACAATATATGTATATTATGTATGACAATATATGTATAGTATGCATGACAATGTATGTATAGTATTATGACAATATATGTATAGTATGTATGACAATGTATGTAGAGTATCATGACAATATGTGCATAGTATGTATGACAATATATGTATAGTATGTATGACAATATATGTATAGAATGTATGACAATATATGTATAGTATGTATGACAATACATGTATAGTATGTATCACAATACATGTATAGTATGTATGACAATATATGTATAGTATGTATGACAATATACGTATAGTATGTATGACAAGGAGCTGATTAACAGTAACAGCAACAGGTAATTGAGGGCAAGTTACACACTGTTTGATGAGGCCAGACGAAGGGTAAGATCAACATAGCACATATCTTGAAACCATTATGCAGAAAGTATTAGACTGCAATACATCTGATTGGATACTAATTGAACAGCTGATTGATAGATTCTATCTCTAAATCAACTTCAGTGACTCGAAACCCAACCCATTGTCCAAGTGATGGGCTCAATCAACTATTCGATCACCATCCTTTATAATGTACATCGAGATGCTCTGTGCAATAAACAAGAAATCGTTATCACTAAAATGGTATGCTTCGTTTGGATCACCATACTGTTTATTGTAGTATAAGTAAGATCTGCCTGAGATTGTTCAGTTTGTGAATGACCAATCTTGTGAAGTTGGGTTACAGAGGACTTAATAGACGCCCTGAGCAACACAGTTGTCACATTACTCTGACATTACACAGCTGTCACATTACTCTGACATTACACAGCTGTCACATTACTCTGACATTACACAGCTGTCACATGACTCTGACATTACACAGCTGTCACATGACTCTGACATTACACAGCTGTCACATGACTCTGACATTACACAGCTGTCACATTACTCTGACATTACACAGCTGTCACATTACTCTGACATTACACAGCTGTCACATGACTCTGACATTACACAGCTGTCACATGACTCTGACATTACACAGCTGTCACATGACTCTGACATTACACAGCTGTCACATTACTCTGACATTACACAGCTGTCACATGACTCGGACATTACACAGCTGTCACATGACTCGGACATTACACAGCTGTCACATGACTCTGACATTACACAGCTGTCACATGACTCTGACATTACACAGCTGTCACATTACTCTGACATTACACAGCTGTCACATGACTCTGACATTACACAGCTGTCACATGACTCTGACATTACACAGCTGTCACATTACTCTGAGAAATAAAACTAAAGAAAATACACAGGTAAAACAAAGCCCGTTTAAGTTTAACCATCACGTATCTGTCACTCGGCAACACAAAGATCACAAACATCTTTTATTTCTTTCCGACTATCTTGACGAATTTCCTCTTAATATATTGATTCGGCGTGAACGATGAGGGGCCATTGTCAGTAAATCATCACCATTTAATGTTTAACGTCGGCTTCAGGCTGTAGCCCATGTCACCGACGGGGCAGGTTGAGGGAGTGAGTGAGTTAATATTGAACGTCACCTCGGCAATATTTCAGCCATATAGTGACGAGACATGTTTTACATAAACAATACATTTAAGTTGTTAAACAATCACGGGGCAGGTTGAATCTCTTTTGTAAATAATCTAATATTCACCAAGTAAGAAATAAACAACCGTAGTCAAAAAAATGTAAATGATGGCCCAGCTACAGTGTGCGAAATAGCCTCTGGCCCGCTAGCCCATGGCAAGGAAAAATCCTGTCGGGCCAGTAAATGTCCACAGTCACTGGCCCGACTAGCTAGCGAATTTCCATGGAGTCATTTTGTCAATA